TGCCTCCCTTCCTAAAATAATGATTTCCCACTTTGTTTTTGAAATCTTCAGCAGATGGTTGCTGTCAGGGAATTTCTCCACCAGAATCTTCATCTGGCCAGAACACCCTGGTTCACCGAATGCTTTTGGCGATGTGGACTCTTTCTGACTTCACTAGACAGTGGGAGGACCAGCTGAATAGGGAAGGTGGCAGAGTTGTGCCCAGTGATGTACAAAAATCTGGGCTTTGGAGAATAACTGAAGGGTGAAAGAGGGAGAGTCGGTGAAGTCTTCTGGGAAGAAGTTCCAACAAAACTGAAGGAAGAAAGAGAGAAGTTATTGGAAGAAGAGAGATGTCAGGTGATTAAGGGAAGGGGGGAATGTGAGAGCAGAGGGGAAAGAGGAGCCCCTGAATTGGAAGCCTGTGCTGGGGCTTCGGGAAGGGAGCAACTGGCTCTTTGGATGGTAGAGTTCCAGAAGTGAAGAAGAGCAAGCGAAGCAATGGTTGTTGTATTTATGGGAGGGAGAGCAAGGGCCGATGTGCTCTCCAGCAGTGTTGGATTTCAACTACCATAATTCCCAGTGAGTTTGGGAGAAAGTCCAAAAACATCTGTAAAGGAGGAAGAGACACATGGATTTAGCCACCAGCTGAAAATAGTGAAGAGAGGGAAAATGTTCTACTCTTCTGCTCCTGAAGAAACTATTGAGGCTGTATAGTTTCTTAGAAGAGGTCCCGGTGATAGGAACAGGCCTCCTCATTCAAACATGTCCTCTCAAAGCCTCTGATGCAATTCCAGCTGCCTTTTGAAGCGTCTACATTGACTGGAAGATGTGGGTCAAGAATGACATTACTTAGCACCAGAGAGCAGGTGCTAGTCATAGATCACTTCTCCTAACCCTAAATGTGAACTGTGAATTCTTAAAAGTTGAAATGACAGTGGTGACCTGTTGAAGATGCCTTAGATAACCCAACAGACCTTACGAGGAGGGGGGTCTGGGATGTCTTAGGAGCTGAGAAGAGCCATAATGCAATATTGCTGGCTCAGGCATTGCTTGCTTAGATCCTGGAGCTGAGGAGCAAGTTAGTCACGAGAAAGGCAGGAACAGAAGCAGCCTTTTCCAATTAGAAGTAGTCCTCGCTTAACAACCACAATTGGGACTGGCAATTCTGTCACTAAGGGGCATGGTCGTTAAGCGAGACATCATGTGACCATGACTTGTGATTTTACTGCCAGCTTCTTCATTGACTCTGCTTGTTGGAAGCTGACTGTGAAGCACGCAAATGGCGATCACGTGATTGGGTGGATGCTGCAATCGTCGTTATGTGCAAGGACTGGCCATAAAGTTGCCTTTTCAGCAACATCATAACTTCGTATGGTCACTAAACAGGGCAGTCATTAAGCGAGGACTACCTGTACTGATAGTCCCACAGAGGAAGATGGATTGGTAGATTAGCACTTAACATGAGTGACTCTTGGAAAGAGGTAATAAAACCTTTTCAAGAACTGATTCAGGCGGCTAGTACTAACTTAGAACGTGCAGAAAACTCAACTTTCCCAGAGCAGAAACCAGTAAAAGCAATTCAGAAGAAATCAGTAATCTGCAGAGACAAATAATATAATGCAACCAGCTATAAAAGTGCTGGAGAATCAAAGCAGGAGGTTGAATTTTTGCTGTCCATCTTTTTATGGCGGATTGGAGAAATCTAATCTCTCAACTATAGCTCTTTCATGAACAGAGAGAATAAAAAATGTGGAGCTTCTCTGCCTTGGCCAGAGAGACAATCACATGCCATGATCCCAGCAGACATGGGGGCGGAAAGAAGGCGGTGAGTGATTGTCCATCGTTCTTTTAAGGGCAGTGGGGTGGAAGATCTGAGTGACCAAAAGAAATCCTTGGGTTTCCAAAAATGGTGGATGCAGTCATAAAATTGGGAAGTTGGGGCCACTCAGTGAGATCTGAGCTAGAAAGATTGAAAGAGTCTGAGTGTCTCCTGGTAGTAATTGGTAGTTCCTATCCCAATTAGTACTGGTAGTAATGGTAGTCAGTTCATCACCATCCCTGTAAAGGGCTGGCTGATACATCCATGAATCTTATGTCTGAGTAGATATTTTTTATTTATCATATTTATATAGCCGCCCACCTCACATAAAAGTGACTCTGGGCGGCATGCAGCACTTAAGATATCCCCTGTATTACACTATAAAGTTGCAATCTGATGCCCCACTTACTTAGGAGTAGACCCCACTGGACTCAGTAGAAGTCCTTCTGAACAGGTCTGTGTCCGTTTTCAGAATGCCTCCTGTACCTTCCCTTGCATGAAATGCTTATGGGGACACGGTCCTGCCTCGCGATCAAATGTTTTTCCACAGAGGAATTCATCTGGAAAAAGTTGGTCTTGCCATTTCTAGAGGTAAGCGACTTCTTCTCTCAAAGAATTTGATTTGTCTTTGGACTGATTGTGCCTATTGTCGCTCATAATATCCAGGGCTGCTTTTTAGGCAGTTAACTCCAAAGCTTGCAGATAAGGAACGAGAAAAGAAACCCGGAGGGAAAACAGAGCAAGGTGAAAGAAAATTAAATGAAAAAAAACAAAAAATGCAGAACTCATCCAAGCAGAAACCCTAAACAGCAATTAAATTATTTTAAACAAGCTTTCTGTCATGTTTTGAATTTTATTGTAAACTGCTTCATGATCTATAATGGGAAGCAGAATGTGACTGTTTTAAATAAATAACCAATCTCTCCAAAATATATGCTTTGGTAATTTAGTAGTAATTTAGCTAACCCGGCTTGAGATACTCCACAGGGCAATTCTTTGCAGCAGATCGTCCGGGGAAGAATTCCTCCTCTTCTGCCCTTTGGAGGTACCTGTTCCATCATCCCATCTGTAAAAGCACCTTTGCTCGCCCTTTCTTTATCTAAACATAGATATTCTTACTCCTGTCTTTTGTGTCCTTGGCTGATCTCAGAGAACCTCAGCAAAATCAGATCTGGTTGGACCTTGAATGGGACACCATCAGAAAATCCTAGGGTGGTAGGCAAGACTGAGAAGTCAAAAAACCTATCCAGAAGGTCTCAATAGCCAACCTCTTCCGTGGAGTTGCCAGAGCCACTAGAAGAATCAAGTTGGACTTGAAGGAGGCTCTACCTTTAGATCCCGGTAGTCAGAAGAAAGTCTAATCTTTCTAGATACCCTGTTCCCCACCCTGGCCAACCACGTGCCTCCTGGCATTAATCCAGAAACTGGGCATGTTGCAAGTTGCCCACATCTGGGGCTTTGGGCTCTGAATTCTGCAGTATTTAATAGAAATCTCCTTTTTAATCACAGAAGGTAACTTCTGTGGCTGGTGTTTCCATCTCCAAAGGGAACCTGAGGCTCATCCTGGGCCTTGATGGGTAAAAACCCAATTCTATTCCTTTGGTATCTGTCTTTCACCAGGGTTCTGTTCTGCACCTTCTTAAAATCAGATTTTTACGCTGCACTGATCATAAATACAGCCTCTCCTGCCACACATATCGCTGCTTCCTGCTTGTATTGCAATTTCTGCACATTTTTTTAAAATTACTGAGCGAATGTGATACTACCTTTGCCCAACCATCTACTGTACTGTGGTCTACAGCAAAAAATCAGAAGCCAGAGATAAAGAAGCAGGTAAATTGAAAATGGAGGCCACCGGTTCAACTATGAGATCTTCAATTCAAGGTCGGTCTGAGGAGGGAGGCTAGCAGCTATTGGGGTCAGGCGTGGAGTAAGGAAGATGACCTTGATGGAGATAGGCCAGATCCATTACCAAAGTGACAAGGGGAAAAACGTGGCTTAAGCCCTGCGCAAAAGACTCAGGCAGACATCTCCCTAATTCACGTAAGGGGGGAAGGAATTAAAGCAGTCAGACTTGCAAAATACTGCTATTATAGCCAGTATTAACAGTAGCTTTAATCTTTGTGTGGAATTTATTCTTGGGTTGGTCTACATCAGTGTTTCTCAACCTTGGGAACTTTAAGATGGGTGGACTTCAACTCCCAGAATTCCCCAGCCAGCACTGTTCTACATAGTGCAGCCAACACAGGGTACCAGAAAGATAAACTGTGCAACCCAAAACCATCACCAACACCCCCTGTTAACTAGGGCCTCGCAGGGACGGGTTCCACTATTAGTGCCAGGCTCTGGAGTGCACCAGTATTAGCTAATGCAAACTACAGACATCTCTCTTAGGTGCGTACCAAGAGTGAACCCCAACCTTACCAACGTTGCAGGATGCGAATAAAGCTTTCTCTGGGGTGGGGGTGGCTTCATCAGCCACAATCCCTCAAGGAGGGTGCAGTTAAAAGTCCCTCAAAAAGCTGGGGAAAACATATCACAGCTGGTAAAACACAGTTCTTCTATGTTCTGGTTCCATTTAAGAGGACATGTGCAAGAGTTCCTTCAGCTGACTTGCACACTTGAGTTAGGAAAGCCATTTTCCACTCTTCCCCAGTCCCATTGTATAAAACGTTGCCCTAAACTACCAGAGACCATGATCTAAAATCCTCTAGTGAAGCTGTAGTTGCCCTCAGCCCATGGGATGACCTCATGCTTGGGGTGACCTTGGGAACCCCGATATCTGATTCAATCATGTGGCAGGACCTGAGAAGGCCTTTACTCTCCATCGGCTATTAATGGTTCTGAAGCGGATTTAAGGGGCTCTGAGGATTTTAAGTTATTCCTTACTTGCTGCTGTTCGACTAATCATAATGTTATTTTATAGCGACTCTTGATTTTTGAGAGCCACATGCTTTATAAGGAAGGACCGAAATGTTTTAAGTAACTGGTGGGATTGCAAAAAAGAATGGCTGCTATCTCTTAAATCACACAGTACCAGCAGAATAAATAAATAAAGCATATTTAGCTAAAGGTCTGGCCAATTTTGTTCTTGCTGGTGAGCAACTTCACAAAAAAATCCTATTAATTCTTCCAGCCCCCAGTAGACAGATGTTGTGTTACATTGGAACAAATCAAATAAGAAGTCCTTCAAACATACTTTTCAAACATTAATTTATTCCACTGCTTCCCGTCCCTCTCCCCCTTTCTGGATTACAGCAGCCTCCACAACTCTATGTCCTTCAAACATACTTTTCAAACATTTATTTATTTATTCCACAACTCCCATCATCTCTAAGGAGCAAAAAGCCACACTGCCCAGCCCAGCTGGAGGGCACCACTTGTCGAAAAGAGTCCCCTGCCCAGGCCAAAAGGTTCTTTGTGGGATACACAACCTGAGCCACTAAAAAGCTTGCAAGGAGAGGGAGGGCTGCTGGCTTGCCTTGCAGAGCTAACCAGCTTTCATCCCGGACCGTCTGGAAGCCAACGGAAGTGCCCCTGAGATGAAGTGGGGGGCGTCAAGAGGCGCAGACCTTCCACTTGTGAGCCTTCACTGCCAGCGGGCCAGAAGAACAGGGAGAATCCCAGGAACAGGCTGCATTTCTGAAACCGCCCTCCGCTAGGCGAAGCATCGGGTCCTTTCTTTCGAGGCTATTTGTCCAGTCAAGCAGCTGGTCTTTTCCCTTCCCCTCCTGCCCCTGCTGCAGAGAAGGACACGCCCTGCTCTCTCTGGCCAACTGATTCTCCCCGAGCCAGGCACCAGGTCGGGAGCAGCAGCTGGATACAGATGTTCACTGTTTACCAGTCCTTCATTCCTCGCCGTCTTGGGGGTGCAGGAAATCCTCCCCTTGCTCACTCGGCTCCCCTGCGGGGTGCCTCTGCCAAGGCTGTGGGCGAGCTGCCTCTGAGCGTGGTCCGGCAGAGAGGGGTGCCCTTCAGGGTCAGGGAGGAGGCTGAAGAGATCTGGGACAAGGGAGAAGGAGAGGAACATGGAAGCAGCAGCAGCAGCCGGGGCTCTCCAGAATCCAGCAGGGGACCCTTCCTAAGCAATCCTTCCCTCTCCCCTTCTCCATGCAGCAACAGCAAAACTCTGCCCCAATTCCTCACTTAAGGGCTCTACAAACCATGAGCCAAGTCCACAACTCCTGGCCTGCCCCCTTACTCTTCTAGCAGCTGGAATAACCCTTCTCTTCCCAAGACAGACTTCACAGTCACTGATGGAAAATGAGAGGCTCTCTGGGGAAAAAGGAGGTTTCAAGGCTAGTGATCACACCGTCAGCATAATCAAGAGTTTAAGAAATTGCACCCTTACTCTTACCATCCAGAACACGAATAAAGCTTCCTTTCTGGAATTACAAAGGACTTTATCTTTCCTAGGATTCCCAGAGTTACCTTGACCAGGACGTAATCTCCTGGCTGCACTCGAACAGCTGATGCCTCATCGGTGCCATCCCTCACCTCCACATCAGGGAAGATCACTTTGATTCCGCCATCGTTCCTGCCCCACAGCTCCAGAGGGGAGCGCTTGCTGGGCTACAAGGGCGAAGAGTGGGGGAATCAGACATGCAGCTCACTGCCAGCCGGCTGCTTTGGGACCACTCAAGTCCCGCTGCTCCTGGGGGGCTGGTTGGGATGTTTGTAAGACAACCAACAACTTGGACCGCGCGCATAGTCCATTTTCTTTTCTGAAAAATAAACCTGACACCTGGCAGTGCCCCCCACCCCTACCCTGCCAAAATCAAAGTCAACTGGCCCAACCAGAACCCCCGCACAGCTGAGTCCCATCTGGAGAAACACGTACATTGAGGCTTTGAAGCACAAAGCCACACATTCCCTAAAGGAATTTTTCCTTTTCCACTTCTGAGACTCAGCTGACGTCGTAACTGTGGGCCAAGCGAGAACCGCCCCGCTGCCAGGCTTTAAGGCTGCTTCCAAGGCAAACGCTTCGGAGCTTTATGTGCAAATGGGGCAGAGAGGTGAACCCACAGGACAAGGGTATCCTTGTCACCTGCCCTTGAAACTGAGGATACAGGGAAAAGTCACGAGATCCAACAATAAGAGAGCGGCTAGCCACGTGGCACACTCACCCCTTCCACCAGGACCACCTGCGCGTGCCCCACGGCAGCCGCATTGAGGCGGGAGGCTTCCTCCCGAAAGACCGCATTGAGCTCCTTCAGTCGGCGGAGCTTCACTTCGGGCAGGACGTCGTCCGGCAGGCGGTGAAACGCCCGGGTTTTCTGGGGAGCAGAGCAACAGTGACCTGGCGGGCAAGACTCGCAGGGACTGAACGAGCACCCGAGTCAAGGAATAACGATCAGGCAAGGACAGCCTCTGCAGCTGTCAGCCCTGCAGGGTAGAGCAGACTAAGAAACCGATGCCGTGTAAGTCAGGACTACTTTTATTGGAACGGGATCTTGCAAGTCTAGAGGTGCCTCCCCCGACCTTATCTTCGTGTGAAGTAGGGAGGGGCTCGCCTGAAACGCTTTCTCGTTATTTTCTGGCCTCGAGCCCCTCTTATCGGACCGTTGGCAGTGGCTCTTCCTCCTGTCCCTCTGCCATCTACGGCACCCCAGCTCTGAATTTCTGTGGCTCTTCGGCACAACTGTGGGAATTTGGGGTCCGTGCTCAGGTTCTTCCCACACCTCTACCTGGCAGTACCCAGCAAAGTCTCCTTCCATCACTTGGGTCACTTGGGCGAGGAAAAGGAGTGCGTGCAGAGACAATGGAAGGAAGGGGGAGAACCCTGCCCCATCCCCTCCACAACATCTAGAACTAGAAACTTGGGAGGGCTCATCAAACATGAAGCAGGGATTAGACAAACTCCATGCCAGACTGAATGGTACTGCAGCAGACCCTGACACTTTTGTCACTGCATAAATAATATACAGTATAGTAATATATGGAAGTTAAATATTGGCGTGTGTGTGTGTGTGTGTCTGTGTAATACATTACAGAGGTCTACATCTATTAGATGTAGTAACTTATACATTTACTGATATTCATCATACTGAATTCTTTTGAATCTGTTCTTGAAAATATATCTAATTCAAAAACAGATCCAACAAAATTCAACTCACAAAAAATGCACAATCCTAGTCCTCCCCTTCCACTGCTGGAGGGGTTTAAGCCACGCTAGAGGAATGATGGAGGAGCAGACGCCTGCACCAGGTGGGGGTCTGGATGAGATGACCCCGAAGGTCCCTTGCAACCTTTTCATTCTCTCTTTCTGCCACTTTTAAAAGCATTTCTTCTCCCCACGACACGCTGGATCCTGTCCCCCAGCGGGTGGAAATAAGTTTAGACCCGCAGCACAGAACTCGGCCAGCGGCTGCAACATGGAACCCATCTGCCACCTCCTGAATCAGCTCCCCAGACGTGCCACCAAGCCTTGCCCGGGCCTCACCTGCCGCTCACTGTAGGCGAAGATATATGCGAGGTTGTAGCGGACCTCACGGAGGAGCGAGAGCGTCTGCAAATGGTCGGCCTCCGTCTCGCCACAAAATCCGGTGATGAAGTCACTGATGAGTGTTACACCTGCAACAGGAATTTCATTTATCCCTTCAATCTGTGCGGCTGCCCAACTCACAAAACAACTCTGAGTGGCTTACCAACAAACCTGAAACAATCATAAAAGCAAAACCGAACAGAACTGGTATTCGCCAACCCCAAGCAAAGCCTGGCCCTCGGGGCAAGAGGAAGGAAGCTGTGGGAAGCGCACGGCCAGCAGGACGGGCGATTCTCTCTCTTTCTCTCTCTCCCACACACATTCAAGACATTCAGCCATGGATTCAAGAGGTCATCAATCCCTTGCCTGGGAAACTCAAAAGAAGGTGAAGAAATCCTGCGCTTCCAGAGGAAATGTGAAACAGGGATCCCTGTTTTTCAAACTTGGCAACTTTAAGCTGTTTGGAT